GTACATACACTTCTCCTTCATTCTATCTTCAGTCAATCTTCGTAAACCTCGGAAACTATAGACCTGTATCTGTAACTGTTTGCGAATAGTAATCTCTTCCCCTTTTAACTTCTATTTCTACTTTTAATTAGAGATGGATCGGGTACCCGGTTTGGATCTGGATGACGCCGAGTACCCGGAAGNTTTGTATGTAATTACTTGGTACATAAATTCCTTAAATTAAGGCAGAAATGTAGAAAAACATATTTATTGTATGTGTAAGCAATTATAGTCGATTTCAGAAAATGGAATCTCATTATCATCATAAGGATTTCAACTCGAAAAGTGCGTACATACACCTTCTATCTTTAGTCAATCTTCGTATACCTCGGAAACTATAGACCTGTATGCGAATAGTAATCTCTTCCCCTTTTAATTTCTGTTTCTACGTTTAATTAGGGATGGATCGAGTACCCGGTTTGGATCTAGATGACGCGGAGTACCCGGCAGTACCAGGTAGCCAATAACAGCAATAATAATAATTTAATAAGTTTAAAATAACAAACCTACTTAATGAAAATTGGTTGTCCTATTCCTGTATAATTGGCAGGAGTATTTGACAGTCCGTTTGTACGTAGGTACTTCCCTAAAATTCATCCTGAAAACGTTCGAACTAATTTTTTCTTATTTCTTAAACATTGTTGCTTGTAGGACATACTAAAATTCAGTAGAGCATTTAAACTCTTATAAAGTTTGTTAATTATATTTATTATGCTTAAGTATTAACATTAATTTATTTTATCTTACATAATTATCTAACCTCTGGCTTTTTAATATGTACAACACGAAATCCCATTATAACTGAAAATTCACTGTAAAAGAGCAACTGAATACTTACAACCTTGGACATTTGAGCGATTTAGTTCGTTTCCGTAATTGGCATTTAATTTAAGTAAATAACATGCTACTTCATAAATTACAAAGTTTTTAATGACTTTTAGCTAGTACTGTTGAGGACGCTATATTTGTATAAAAATTTACTAATTTTCATAACCGGTAAGTTAAATAACAACACATAAAATGCCAACTAATCGTCTGAATTGAATTAAATATTCTAATGTACGTAAATTGAACTTTACATTAGAATAAATATCGTTTCTTAAATAATTTAGAAACCAAAAAAAATATGCAAAATTTACATCGTTGTTGGTGGTTTGTGTTTTACCATCCAAGCCTGACAACTTCGACAGAATATGTATTAATCAACTTAAACTTATTGTTCTGTTTGATAAATAACATCCTTAATTAGAAAAGGATTTTGTTGAACATTAACTAATCCTATATTAAGTAATAAATCCCTACTAACAGCGTTCACTACACGCTGTCTGATTGTTCATTAAGGGATTATGTATCAGTATAAAAAGGGAGATTTTTTCGCTTTCATAAACTTTCACTCTTTCCTTTTACCATAAAAGTTTCTTTGATGTATTTATGATGGATTTTATATTAAAAATCAGTTCTGTCACTTGCAAATTTATTTTCATTTGAATATTTTATTATCGTTTTCTAATAGAAACATATGTATTCATGTTAAATGATAGATAATGATTATAAAAGCGTTGTGAACATTGAGCAACCTTATTCCTAATACGGGCTACCAAGAGAAACCGATTTAATATAATCCAGCTCAATATGTGATGGGTTTATTAATTTTTTTTACAACTGCACTTAACTTAAAATAAGCGAAAATATCAGTTTCAATTAAGGACATTTCAATTTCTTTTTGAGAATTTATTGCCTCTGTCTTTATAAAGAAAAAAAGCAGAATCAAAGAAGAAACCGCTCCGTTATGACAGGTAGGCGGGAGTATATACATACAGAAACGGATTTATCTATCATTAGCCAACCATTCATAATTTTTGAACAAGCTAATAACTTCCATCTAAGGCCAGTTGGAAAAATAAAAAAAACTACCAAGACTCGCTCCTTTCATACCTGGTAGACACCTACCAGCAGGATGTGAAATTATAGCCGAAGGGTTTTGTCGAAAGTGATCGAACTCGACGGCGTGTCGGCGGCAACACTGTTGTATGTTGACCTTGACCGTGTGACTGTATATATACACTATTAATTACTATAATATTATGTATATATAAACATGGAGTAGCTGAACTTTTCGACGTTTTGTTTGATAAAAATCCTTGCCACGCGTTTGTACGATGAGCAGGAATCCTGATCAACCAAGACAAAGCATTTTTGATAATTGTTTACGTTATTACTAGTACAAGATCCAGAGCCGCCAGACAAATTCTCATTTTTTGAGTGACAAAACTGGTAGGATACAGAACTGTTAGTGTATACTTTCTAGCTTGGGTCGACGGCCAATTTGCAGATATCAAGTGCTAAGGATACCTACGTAAAAATAATACTCATATTTCTTAGTCTTGGTGCTGATTTTTACATTATGTTATATTGTTAAAAATTAATAATCAACACTGCCGGACGCTTCCCTCTGGCGGTAATTTCTGCCCGACGCTTCAAAGTTCGCAAAAAAAAAATCGTAATTTTACTTATTATCTAAGGGTGATACTCAGGGAACTACTGCAATACCTTTTAGTCAGACTAAACACCCCCCAAATCTCCTTGTGTGTTATAAAACCATCTAATTTTCGGGTTAGCGCCTATACTTAAATCCCGACCGTTCGATTACTAGCTGGTGGGAATGAGACATCAAAAAGTTTTTTCTTCAATTTTAACAAGACTGTTATAAAGCGACGCTAAACTTCATCCCCCAAATTAAGTCATTTATAAACACTCCCTAATTGATAATTAAGTAGTTACCACTAATATAATTTAATATAAGTACTAAGTCCCACAAGAGATTGATCGCATTTTCATGCTTCCTTAAGCTTTCCTGGTTTAGATTAATCATCTATATTTGTTCATTTTCATAGTGTGGTTTTGCTTTTCTTTCATCTGCTTCACCACTTGTTTCCATTTCTTTCTATCTGTTACTGTTTGTTTGAAATTCTTAATCTTCACTCCTGCTAGGTCCTCTTCTACCTCATCTAACCGTCTTCTTCTTGCCTTTTTACTGATTGGGTTCCATTCAGTTGCCGCCCTCACGTTTTCCTCATGCTCCATTCTGTATGCGTTTTTGTAATTATTTCAAGTCTCATATTTTCACCTTCTATTTTTATTTCCTTGATCATCTGTTCTATTATCTTTCTTTGTTTTCTTATGAAGATTACATCACCTGCATCAACTATTACTTGTCCACCTTTTTTTCGTATGTTACCTCTTTTATTTATTCTCTTGTTAGATTTTCTAGAACTAGATTAAATTTATTACTTGATGAGGTTTGTGGTTTGACAGGCATTATGTTATTATTAGGTAGATTAATTATATTTTGATTATCAGATGGATTGATTTGTTTAAAAGTTGTTACTGTAGTTTGTTTTTGAATCGTTTTTTATCCGTTGTTAAAATTTTGCTTGTCTATATAAGAAACAGTTATTTTTTTAGCACAGCATTATATCATCATCATCATCATAATGTCATCAGTCCTTAGACTAGTTGGACACGCACCTCTACTCCTTCCTATCTTGTGCTAATATTCGCATTTCCCTAAAACTAGAATATCATCCTACATCCTTAACTATTTGCGAACAGTAATCTAATCTACATATCTCTTTACTCGTCTTAACCCCTGTTTCTGCTTCTAACATGTCTCTAGCTAGACCTTCATGCCTGAGAAGGTGTCCTACCGACCTACCTTGCCTATTTATTATTGACTTCCATAGAGTCCTCCTTTTTCCTATTCTTTCTAATACCTCTTCATTTCTAACCTTCTCTATCCACAGTATCCTTATCATTCGCTGGTAACATCACATTTCGAACATCTTTTCTTTTCCACTGCGTCCACCCTCCATGCTTCGCACCCGTACATCGCAGAGCTCCAAACATACACCTTTAACAATCTCTTTCGAATTTCTAAATTAATCGTTCTCAAGCATAGAAGTGACTTTTTTATTGAAGGCGACTTGACCCTGACCTATCCTCTGCTTTCCATCCCTATTACTTCTTCCGTCCTAACTTCTCTGACTTCCTAGATACCTAAAATCAGCCACTTCTTCTAATCTTTCGTTTCCTATCTTTATATTCGTTCTTTCCCTACTTTTTCTTTCCTCGTAAACCAGTACTTTTGTTTTACTTATCGTCATTATAACGAGCTTTAAATTATTGCACTTGCGCTTATTATTATTTCAACACGCTATATTTCATCGTTTACTTTTATGAACAAAATTGATCGTTGGTAAACCGCCTGTGTCAATTCTGAATAAACAAATCAATTGAAACCGTAGCATTACCTTTCTCAATTGAAAGGTGTTTTATAAGATGTTGTAGCAGCAAATATAGTGTTTAATAAGACATTCCTGCACGGTTGCTTCGATAGACAGTTATTAGAACCTACCATTAGCTTCTTGTTTGTTATAATAGAAAAAGAGTTCAATGACAGTTATAAAGAGAGATATTTAAGTACAGATATAGGTGTACGAATACAGATTTAATACATGCACACTTTCACACTGAAAGTGCAAGGTTTTGCTTTTTATTTAATTAATAAAAAGCTAACGACAATACTATGCCTGTTTGTGTACTTACGATATTTAATTAATCATTTATAATAAAAAAAAACTAATACAATAATAGCGTCTAGACATTGTTCGTTTTATAGAATAAATTCCTCTTTTGTTAAAAAAAAAAGTCATAAATTTGCGTAAACTGTTGCTGAAAGGCGAAGCGTGCAAATAATGTAATAATAATAATTTCTAAAAGGTCATGAGATCGAATGTCAGGAAGAACGTGATTAAAACACTCTATTTGCTAACTTGTAATATATTTTTTTCCTCGCTAATAGTTTTATATTTACATTAATATTTACATATTTACACAATTACCTAATAACCTAACCTGACTGTGTAGATGTCTTGTTTGTAGTAAATATTGTTTTTACTTACATGCCCTTCCAGTCCAAGCAAAGACGATTTTGTTTCTGCAACAAGAGAAAAAGTAAAATATCAATTAACTGTAAAATAATTAAAGTTTCGTCTTATAAATAGGTATTTGTTAGAGGGGATATCCTGTTAGTGAGGATAAAACACATGTTTGTATTACTAAGCCTTCAACAATGGAGGAGATCGGGTACATTCGTAGCGAGGTACAAATACTTCCTAATATAATATATGAAGATAGAAATTGTTATTTTTTTATTGAATCTAATTTTGACTAGGTTTTTAAGTCACCGACGACCATATAAAACTAATTTTTCTATCTCTCCCAAATAGTATTTATTTTTGATAAGAGGTACCACATGTCATTCTCTGTACTTCTGAAAATATGTGTGCAAAATTTCATGGTAGGCTTAACCCGCGGTTTCTCTCCCGTTGATGTCTTCAACACGTGTCAAAAATCATCGACGACCACAAAACTAATTTGTTCTATCTCTCGGGAACGGATCATCACAGAAAGTTTCCTGAAAGGTTTTACTACTTCTTTCGCGTTGATGTCCTAAATACGTATCAAAGATCATCGACGATCATCTAAAACTAATCACTTTATACTCCTGACAATGTGTGGATAAATTTTGATGACAATCGACAACGTAGGAGAGAAGGCGTGAAATTGTACCAACATTCGCATTTATAATATTAGTAAGAATTTCCTATTTTCTAACATTTCTAACTAATTATAGTGTTCTGACTCGTACATTGAGATTTAAGAAACAAACAAAGGTATTATAAAACAAACGACAATATTTAGTTTTTCTTTAGATAGATATAAACTTTTTTAAGTTGTGTTTTCGTAGAAAGCAGTTAAATCCTTTTTTAATTGTTATAATAAACAATAAAAATTAACATAAAAATGTTTCTTGGTTTTATTTCTTTTATGAATAAATACTTTTTATTGTGTCCAAATTAACTTCAGTTTCTTGAATTAATCATGATTTTATTTCACCTAATCTTAAGAGCACGTCAATTCACTCTTTTATGAAATATTTGCAGAATTGCAACTTTTAAACAACCTTCTCTCTTCGTCTGACTTAACCTTACCTGAATGACATGAGAGATATCGATAAAACGTCGTCGTAGTTTTTAATTTTTTAAAATTGAAAAATTACGCGATGTGATTTATGAGAACACCCAATATATACACTGAAATTTAAAAAAAACAGGAAAGATGTAATCTGCATCATTACTTTTTTTTCATATTTATTTAGATATTTAATTGGTAGTCAGTTAAAAAATGTTAGGTATACTGTGCAAATTTTCTCACAGTATAAAAATAACTTCTAAAAATTGTTACCTATCTGTTACCTCTGATTTTTAAAATCGATTAAATTATCTTAAATGCAGTAGGCACACATATGTAAATACTTCGCCAGCTATTTAATAATTTGGGACATTTGGCGACTATACTACCTAGTTTCATTCATAAAAATGGTTTAATGAATACAGATAATTTAAACGTTATACACTACCTTGTATTTTAAAAATGAGCTGGATCATTGAAAATCACTATAGTAAAAAGAGATAAGTGTGAACGTGATAGTTAACACTCACAAATTCGGTTAACACTTTCGGAAATCGCGAACATTGTGCTTCACGATTGTTGCCGGCTTATCAATTAAATCTCGAAGGCATAACCTACTATTTAGTAAGTAATAGTAATAATAATAATAATTACAATACAAATGGGCACGCGTGCAAAGTTATTTTTTTATGCCCGGTTCGCACCTGTAATTCAAATCCAAAGGCCAATGAAGGTCGTCATTATTCACGTGTCTCCTTCTCAAAAGGAAATGTCCATTTCGAGTAACGGCGAAATTACCAAAAGACATTGCAGTTCGAATGGGAAAATCAGATCACTGAACACGACGCAACAGCTCTGTTAACCGTTATTAATAGAACAATAAGTACTTATTTGGATAATCCCTTAAAAACGACAGGTATGCTCTCCGGTAACTGATCCGATTTTAATTATTACGTTTTATTCAAAAGATTTTGAGAGTTCCGTTAGTTTAAGATAGTTTAGAGACAGACGTGGTTGAAAAAACATATTCCACATGTTTACCTAAACGGTGTAGTTTATTTGTTCAGTAAATATTTTGCCTTATAAGCAATTTTACACAGTATATAATAGCATCCTGTATACCCACAACCCTTTCGCTACTAGAATGGTTACGAAACAGTGAAATTTTCGTTTCTATATCCACCTATTCCGTCATAAAATCACAGTATGCTACGGTTCGAGTCCGTTTAAAAAAACAAGAACGTCGACACGTATAGAACACCGACTCAACGACTGACCGAAAAGGGTTTAGAAACGGCGCCGTGTAGTCCTAGCTTTAGTCCAACTAATTGTCGGTGTATTGTTTTTTAACTAACACCTGACTCACATTTCAACACAATAACTACTAGGTATTGCCTATTAGATACTTGGGTATAAAAATTATGTAACTTTGTATTTGGACAGTTTGTCCAATTAATTTGAATCAAGGAAGTTTGCCATACTTACAGTCTAGTAGATTCGTATAACAATTATGTCGCCTGGCACTCGTGCATGATAATTGTCACGTAGAAAATTATAGTAATTAAAAGTACTCTATGTACCAATTTGAATCTACGATACATTATTCATCTTGACCGTGAAACTCTAATTGCTTTGTTTTGGTTTCTTAGCATTATTTCATGCACACGTGCAGGAACTGATCAGAATTAGTATATCTATGAATATTAAAAATCATAATCCGCTATAGGTGAGTATATTCGATAAATTAATGCTGCCGGGTCCTGGACGAGAAAATAAATTAACAAATTAAAAAATTATTTTAGGTATATATATATCAAAACGTAAGTAATAAATAAAAAAAAAAACATTAAAAATTATTTCAACTTAAAATTTGTGGGTCCCTTTTGGGTATGTTATCAGCTTGAATGTTTTTACCCAATTAGTTAAATCTACATATTATCTATACTTTTAATCTCATGTAAATAGATTTTTGTATAAAATGTTTTAAATGGGGATGAACTTTTATGTAGATTACTATAACCAGCTAATGCCGCAGGCGATCGATATCGACAGACGCTGGTTATGGTAAGAATCGTATGAAACCGGCGCTACAATAGAAACTTCTAAAAATTTCGCGAAACAACCAGAAAACCAAGTTTGTTGTGATGATAGGTACAATTAGTCAAATTGTCAGATAAACAGCTGCATACCTACAGCCTTAATTAAAAAATATTTAAACTACCCTTATTTTAATAGCTAACCAGTAATTACATCGTAATTGGTATACGATTACGGTGCCCCAACTTGTAAGTGTTCAGCGCGCTATAGACTCCTTTATTTTTATTTTTTTTAGAAAATTTTTCCTCAAGAATTTTTCGGTTTTCAATAAGATCTTTTTGTAACCTTTTGCAAATATGGTAAACCTCAGTATACGAATATTGTAGGTATTAGAACGCATCTAGTTTTTTTAACGTTTTTAAAAATAATATTTTTACGTAATATCTCGACTATTAACACAGCTTCATGTATTACATACGTAAATGGAAATTTGCTATTACGCAATTACGATCTCTCATGAACTTGGTCCCCAGACAACGTCATTAAATAATAAGAATAATATCATAATTATTACGATCATTGTAGTAGGCATCTATCCTAACTGGGTTTATGTAATTATATGGAAGTTAAAAAATTTATAAACATATTTTATATGAAACATCGATACCTCCTATATGATCATTATGGATTATAGATTTAAGGAGGTATGAAATAAATATGATATTAACTTATAGGTAAAATAGATATATTAATGAAAAAGAAGGTTTTTATTTTGTAATAGGAAGGGGAAATTTTTATTCTTTTGATATTTACTAACTACTTAAAGTGTTTTAAATAAGTTATTGTTGACTCGTTTTCATTTCTTCATTGTTGTGAGGAATGAATTTAAAAAGTTATGTATTGTAATGCATTGTATTTCTTATAGAATAGACACATTGGTTGGTACATAGTATATATCCACAGTATTCATAAAATTATTTTTCGAGAAAGTGAATTTTTTTACTGACGATTGTCTTGAGACAATCGCATGTATGATTTCCCACATACTACAAACTGTAGTTTCTCTAATTAAATGAAATTATACAAACATATACCTTCTAATTAAGAAATTAACATTAATTTATTTTGACAGTAATTACGTACAGGTTCAAAACAACTATTAATTTTATTTCGTTTCTGACCGTTTCTTGATGAAATAGAATTAAATGATAGTTCCAACAAGAAATGGGCCGGGCCCATTGTTTAAATCCGGTACCCGGGGATTTGACTGGGTATCGCATAAAGACGCCAGGTACTAGATAGGAGATAATTCTACCAGAGAAAAGAGAAAAACGAACACCACCAATGATAATTTAATAAGTAACTAACCTACCTAATGAAAATTGATGATTAAGTTGGTATTGGGATAGGTCGTCTGTCCTCATTTATATTATTTATTGATTACTGTACTACATTATTTGTTATTTTTATATAATTCTTGTGTTTTCTTTTTTTTTGTGAACAAGAATGCAACAGTATGAACGAATTAGTATGTTGTTGTCACCTTGCTAACTTTATATTCTCATTTCAACTTATCCCTCTTGCTAAAAATCGGCTAACCAAGAATGAAAATTACATTAACTTAGTGTTTAAATAACTTTATTAACGGGACTTTATGTGGTTTGGGACGTTGATGAGGGTAGTATTTAATGGAAAGCCTGTCAGGGTGAGGACATTAACCATTAACCGTAATGGTTTTACCAAATTATTGGTCATCCCGTGGATCTCTACTTCAAACTATGTCCCACTTTGTTCTTAAAACTCATCCAAATAATGTTATTTTCTTTTTTGGGTGTTTCATTCCCACCAGCCAGTAATGCTGGTGGGCGGGCAGTTCCTCCGGACTGCGTCAGAAGGTAGGGCGAATGGGTGAGTGATGGTTCGGGT